GCCAGGAGAGCAGCGGGCGAGCTGCAGGCACAGCCAATCCGGCACTCACACAGGGTGGCCAGGAATCTCTTCCTCTCGTTTCCCTGAGCTGGCGTCACTTCCCGAAGGCCCTCCTCACATGGAAGCAAGATGCCGGCTGCTCTGGACTGCCTCCAGGGAACCCCTGCACGGGCCCCTCACTGCGGTCACTGCAGCTGGTGACACACAGGGACACACACCCGATCCTGCAGACAGGGAAGGCCAGCCCCAGCCACATGGGGCTCCCCAAGGAAATGGGGGTGCTGCTACTAAAATAAGGGTAGCAGATGCCAGGAGACAAATCACCCCCTGCTCAGATTTGTGGGTTTCCTATTAAGAAATGTTGCCGCGGGCCTGCCGGCGTGGCTCAGTGGTTGAGCATCAACCAACCTATGAACCAGGAGGTGACAGTTGGATTCCCAGTCAAGGCCCATGCCCGGGTTGCAGGCTCGATCCCCAGTGCGGGGTGTGCAGGAGGCAGCCAATCAATGATTCTTTCATCGTTGATGTTTCTATCTCTCTCTCCCTCTCCCTTCCTCTCTGAAATCAATTAAAAAGTACATTTTAAAAATGTTGCCACAAATACCTTTCTCCTTTGCTGGCTGACAGCTCCCACACAGTAAAGATACTACAGGCTGTCCCGGAACCCTAGGGGTTCCCTGCACCCCAACCATTTCTGCCGCTCCTACCCCCTGTCAGACCTTCCCTAGTGAGCCTAGCTGGTTCCTCCCTTCAAACACAGCCCAGAGCCCCCCTGCATCCCGGAGCCAGCGTCCACCCCGGTCCTGAGCTGGCTCTGTGTGCAAACTGCCTCCTTGGGGCCAGGAACCAGGGAACCAGTGCCCCAGGCAGGAGGCAGTGGGCCGGGAACCAGGGAACCAGTGCCCCAGGCAGGAGGCAGTGGGCGGGGGCAGTGGGCCGGGAACCAGGGAACCAGCGGCCCAGGCAGGGGGCAGTGGGCCGGGAACCAGGGAACCAGTGCCCCAGGCAGGAGGCAGTGGGCGGGGGCAGTGGGCCGGGAACCAGGGAACCAGCGGCCCAGGCAGGGGGCAGTGGGCCGGGAACCAGGGAACCAGCGGGCCGGGCAGGGGGCAAATGGGCCGGGAACCAGGGAACCAGCGCCCGGCAGGGGGCAG